GGAGGGAGGGAGGGAGGGAGGGAAGGAGGGAAGGAAGGGGGAAGAAAGGGAAGGAGAGACAGAGAAAGAAGAGGAGAGAGGAGGCTGGAGAGCTCGCTCTGTGGTTAAGAACACAGGCTGTTCTTACAAGAGGCCAGGGTTTGAGTATGAGGACTATCATGTCAGCTCACAATCACTGGTAACTCTAGTTTGAGATTCAATGCCTTCTGACCTCAGAGGACACTAGATACATACATACACACAGGCTTTCACTCATGCACATAAAATAAACATCCTTAGGTGAGAAAAATATATAGAAAACCACCTTGAGCCATGAACTTCTGGCTTCACCTGAAGCACTTTCTGCCTCCAGCCGAACTGAGTACCCATTCCCATGTGTATCTGTGCAATGGAGCTGCCCTTAGGCAGAGCACACACTCTCCAGATCCACAGTTCAGTTTACTTCATCTCTCCTCCATGCACAGCTGAATTAATGTGACCTCATTCACAAAGGCTCTGCACTTGGCCTAAGTATCAGAAGCCAAGGATAGTTAACTGGACCATACTCTGTGTGGAAGACCTCCCATTGGCATCTGGATGTGACTTACACTAGAGACCTACTGATCTGGGCTGCAGAAATCTCCCATGAGTGAGAAACAGGCTTAGGAGCTCCTGGTGGCTAGCTCTGGCCTGGATTTCATTCGGCCAATGATCTGAGCCAGGGTCCCCAACTCCCACTGTTTTTCCATGTTTTTATATGTTGCCTCATTTGCTGGGCAGAAGACATCTAATCTTCCAAGTCCTGGCCCACCTCATTAGAAGGATCATTAGGACGTGTCTGTGGGGCCTAGACTCAGCAGGGGCTCCAGATCCCTCTGGTGGATTCCACAATCTATGTCCCAATTTTCTGTCCCATCCGCAAGCATCTCCCAGCAGATGAGCACGCACATCCTGCCACCTGCTGGTTGTAATAGGAATAGCAAGCCTTTTCCAGTCATTGCTTGGGCATTTGCTTTCTCCAGGATACAAGGGGTCATTGGCTGGCTGGATGGCACCAAACCTTCTTCCCTGCCAGTGTGAACTACATAAGGAAGGAGAGCATAACTCTCTAAAAATGTCTAAGAAAGCAAAATTTGGTGTTTCCCATGCCAATAGAGCTCCTTATGTATAATGGGTATCATGGTGGTGCTCCTGTTTGTCTATAGGTGGATAACTGTATACATTAGATACTATCCATTTATTGAAGTGTTCATTTCTTTTATTGGATTTTTGAGACAGTCTTGTGTAACCTAGGCTGACCTTGAACATTGTGTGTGTATGTGCACATGTATGTGCATGTGTGTGTGCATGCATGCACATGTTCTCTAACAAGGGCCCTGTCTGCATGTACAGAAATCTGGAGATCAGAGGACAACTTGCAAGAGTCTGTCCTTTCCTTCTATTGTGTGGGTCTTAGAGATTGAACTCATGTTTTGAGACTTAGCAGCGGACACCTTTACCCACTGAGTCATCTCACTAGCCTATACTTACTTTATTCTTTTTTTAAATTTTTTAAAATTTATTCTCTTTTATTTATGTCTGTGAGTATTTTGTCTATGTTTGTGTGTATGCTTGGTGCCCAAAGAGACCCAAAAAGGGCACTAAATCCTCTAGAACTCGAGTTAGAGACACTTGTGAGCCACTATGTGGGTGCTGGGAACCAAACCCAGGACCTCTGCAAGAACAGCCAGTGCTCTTAACTGCTGAAGAAGCCATCTCTCCAGGCTGGCTTCTCCTTGGAGCATTCAGAGTTGCTCTCAGTTTTCTGTGCCTTAGTTCTGAGTTAGAGCTGCAGATGTATAGAGACCATGTACACTTCTGTGTCACACATTACTACACTGTCTGCACTGATGCCGTGTTATGCTGTGTGGTGATAAAGGCCATACAAAAAAGAAAACAACCATTTCTGTTCCCTACCTCCTAACAGTAAGGGCAAGTTTATGTTTAGGTGTCATAAAGTCCCAGGCCCCTTGTTGGGTCCTGTGTCCTGGGAAGTTTTGGCTTCCCCCATTCCCCTGCTTGGCCTTGGTCTGAAGCCTCCATCACCTTCCTGGCCACAGGCAGTGCTTGCTCTCTGCCCATCTGCCCTCGTCATATGATCCACATTCTCTTTCTTCTATCATGAATACTGGACCAGATGCAGTCATTGATAATAAATGTCCTGATCATGGGCCGTGTGTCTAATGCAGGTTGCAACCCCACTTAGACAAACCAATGGAATGAAAAGAAGAAAAATTTTAAAGGGTCTTGGATGGACTGGAGAGCTAGCTCAGACATTAGGAACACTCATAAGAGGATCCAGGACTTGTAGAGAATTAATCTTGTAGAGAACCTAGCTTTCATTCTCAGCACCCACAATGGTAAACCACAACTGTCTGTAACTCCAGGTCCAGGATACCTGACACTCTTTTCTGGCCTCTGAAGGCACTACATGCCCTTGGAACACAAACATACATGCAAAGAAAGCATCCATGCACAGAAAAATAAGTCAATCTAAGGTTTTTTTTAAAAGGAGTCTGGGGGCTGGTGAAGATTTCACTTATTGAAGAAATAATTTTACTAGGTTTTGTGCTTCTGCACCAAAAACTCTGTATGTTCAATGTTTGTTGCATGTAAGGGTTTGTGAGTTGGTTTCTTGCTGGGTTTGGGGAATCAGGCTTCGTATACTTCAAGCTGGCCTCTCCATCTGGTAGCTAAGCTCTCTGAAACTCTCGCTTCTATTTCCAAACACTGGAATCTCAGACTGCACCATGGCTGCACTCACAGAGCTTGCTCTCAAACACAGTGGTCCTCAGCCTTCCTAATGCTGTGACGCTTTAGTACAGCTCCTCATGTTGTGGTGACCCCCAACTGTAAACTTTTTTGTTGCTACTTCATAACCGTACTTTTGCTACTATTATGAATTGTAAATATCTGTGTTTTCTGACACTCTTGGGCAACCCCTGTGAAAGCGTCATTCAACAACCCCCAAAGGGAGTCTCGACCCACAGGTTGAGAATTGTTGCTCTAATAGGAGAAGTAATGTCAGCAAAGGAATTAGACCCCAGTGGGATCAGAACTTTCCCTCTGGGGCACTCAAGAGAGCACTCCACGTGGCAGCTACTCTGTCTTCGGGAGCTCAAGAAGGGCAGCAACTACGTGGGGGGCTGGGGCTTGGGTTTGGAAGCAGAAGTATAGCAGAGAGGATAACTTGAATTGAACCAAAGAAGAAAAGTCCGACATCCTCAAGCATGAGAGAATGTTTTGGGGTGATTGATAAATAATATCACATAGAGAAAGGCATGAAGTAAAATAGAACAGGTGGACATGCTCCAAAAAATCTGAGCCCTTCTTTAGCAGTGGAAGAATTTAATTATCCTGAGGGCAGGGGCAGCTACTAGGAAGTTCTGATTAGAGCCAAGCATGGTAGCACACAGCCACCATCCCAGCATTTGGGATACTGAGGCAGAAAGACCGAGACATCCAGCTCAGCCAGATGGTGGCAAGCCCGGGGTGGCTGGTTTGGGAAGATTAGAGTATCTGCTCCTGTGATTCGTTTCTTACTCACATCACTCCTGACTTTCAGGGAGCAAGCAAAGACAGAATCTCTCTCCCGGAAGCTCTTGGTGTCCAGGAGGGCAATGTGGGCTGGTGAACCTTGCCAGCAACACACATTGAATTGGCAGCTCAACCTCAGTCAAAACACTGGCCTTGGCCTGGGGATATGTTATAGCCACTAATATGCTCATGGATTAAGTGTTAGGACCAGAATCTTAGAAACCTCCTATGTGCTGTAACCTGTCTGTGATCTCAACTCAGGGGAGGCAGACTTCAGGGATATCTGGAGCAAGCTGGCCAGTCAGACTAGTTGAACAGGTGAGCTCTGGGTTCAACTGAGAGACCTCATCTCAAGAAATAAAAACGAGGGCTGGAGAGATGGCTCAGCAGTTAAGAGCACCGACTACTCTTCCAGAGGTCCTAAGTTCAATTCCCAGCAACCACATGGTGGCTCACAACCATCTGTAATGGGATCAAATGCCCTCTTCTGGTGTGTCTGAAGACAGCAACAGTGTACTCATATACATAAAAAAATTAAAAAATAAATAAATCTTTAAAAAAAAGAAAAGAAATAAAAACGAGGCTCCGAGAAGATACTTAACATCAACCCCTGTCCTCTAAATGCATATACATACACCCACACATGCGCATGTGCACAGTATGAACACACACACATGCTACACACATACACACCCAAAACAAAACAAACACACTGGCCCTTCAGTCTCATTGTGGAATGACAGGTTAAGGGTACTGACCAGGGCAAGCTTGAGCAGACTGGGAAAGGGATGAACCACTAGAGCATGTTACAAAGGAGAAGTCCACCAAAGCTGGCAGAGATGCAGAGCATATGGGAAGTGGGCTGGGGTCAGAAAGGTAAGTTGGAGCCAAATGACAAAGAGCCTTTGACAAGCCTACGGAAACTGGAAGACTGATGGGGGTGATGGTGTGGGAACGAGAGGCAGGAAGAAGCTATGGCTTCCCTGGCTGGTAACATGGGAAAGCCAGGAGCTCTCTGTCCCTTCCCGGGCCATCAAGGGGTGGGAAAGATGGGAAGGATGCAACAGAGGCAAAGCAGGGGATGTCTCCAAACCATCCTCTGAAACTCTAACCAAAATCCTAGGCCTACTCGATGAAACCTCCAAAGCGCAAAAAGCCTTGAAAAGAAACCTTAAAATAATAGGCATGAAGAAGGAACTTACCTGTCTGAGGTCACAAGTCAGTAAATGACAAAGACTCACACCCTGGCACAGAGCTTATGCCTCAAAGCCTGTAACCATTCCCATCCCCTGGCTTGCATCTGTTTCAACATGTGAGCGGCGCCCCTCTATAAGGCTGAACTCCCCAGCCAGCCAGACTGCCTCCAGCAACTAGGGACACAAAGCCTGAGAGGCAAGGGAGGATCAGATGGCATGTCCTGGCCCCCCAGGGGAGTGCCTTGCAGGGAGGGTGCCCAGCCCTTGTCTTATTTTAAGTAGAGCCCCATGCTAAATCTGTTTCAGGATGATGAGGGTGGAGAAGGCCGCTTCAACTTCTCCGCCTATGGAATGGGCCCAGCCTGTCTGCAGGCCAAAGATGGCATCTCTGTCAAGGGTGCCAACAACAACAACACCACTAACCCCCCTCCTGCACCATCCAAGTCCCCGGAGGAGATGCGGAAACTCTTCATCCAGAGAGCCAAGAAGATCGACAAGATATCTCGCATTGGTTTCCCTATGGCCTTCCTCATCTTCAACATGTTCTACTGGATCATCTACAAGATCGTGCGGAGAGAGGATGTCCACAACAAGTGAAGGCTCTGGGGTGGGGTGGGGGGCTGGGAGAGGGTGGTGGGAGGAGCACAGAGGCTGGGAGCCAGGGGAGGAAGGAGAGAGGGAGAAAGGAAGAGCACACACCCATCTCCCTCCACCAAGTGCAATAGAAACCACGGGGGTGGATACTTCCAGGGTATGGCAATATCCATCTAGCCTCCAAGGGCATGAGGTGGGAGGGCCTTTTTGAATACAGCAACTAGGGACCATGAGGGGTGGGTGGGGGTCAGGGAGGGGATTGGGAAATCACAGCTTTCAAAATTCAAGTCCATTGGGTTGAGGGGTGGGGGGGTTCCTGTTTGGAGGTCAGTGCTGCCTGCCCCAGAACAGGAAAGCAGTGTAATATATAACATTTAACCATGCTTAACATTAATGCAAAATCTACCAGAACAAAAGATACATCTCTTAAATCAGCCTAGTAACTGCTTAAACTTTTAAAGTCCCCAACGTGATGGACAATATTTCCCAGAGTAGAAATGGACAGAAATAAGCTTGCTGTGGTATGTGCCCCCATCACGCCCTTACAAATGCCATGTGTATCTTTAAACTGACCCCCGTGGACACATGCCAAAAAAAAAGCCATTCCGCCTCTGCTTCGAGAGGGTCACATGACACAGACATGGGTCTCAGAGATGGATAAAGGTGGACCGACAGCAGGAAGTAACTCAAGAAGAGGACCATTGCAGAAGCCCTCGGATGGAGACTCCAGAAAACCACAATGGGCACCAAGCTTGTTCCTCTCGCTTCTGAGCTTCAGCACTGGCCAGACTCAGTGCCAGCCCTACAGCCGTCATGGTCTTCTCATTGTATTACCAATATGCAATCTTTTTTTATTTAAAAAAAAGTAATAATCTCAAGAAATAATATGGGGAGAGACTAAGTGTAAACCCATGGACTTTTTTCCAAATCTCTATTTTTTTTTTTTGGAGAATCTCTTTGAGACTGCAAGGAACTGTGTTATGGGAAAGGTGAGCAGAGCTGAAACCTGACCCAATTGCCAGGCGGGGAGTCAAGCTTGAAGACTTGAAAGGGTGAAGGCGGCGGCGTGCATGGGAAGAGACGGTGATATTTAGAAAGCCCATTCATTATATTTTGACATTTCATACATCATAACATGGGAAGTTTTGGGGAATGACCCCATTATATTTTTATAAGCTTTTTTTTTTTTAAAGATGCTTTGCACAGCTTTAACGTGTAGGAAAGTTAGACAAATATTTCTCTTTCCTTCTAACTCTGAAGTGCCAGAATGGTCCCAGACTAGCCAGGGCATTCCAGGGGAGAGCAACAGGGATGAGCTAGGTTGGGAGAGAAGGTTCTGCTGACGAATCTGGATTTGCACAGAACCACCATGGCACAGAGCCTGGAGTGAGGCATTGCAGGTGCCATCCTGTGTGTCATGGCTAGTACTCGGGAGTTACACTTCTGTCCTAGCACTTTACTGTCTTGGCCTTGAGCCAGAGCTATAGGTAGGATAGAGATTGGTCAGTGACAATCAGTCCGGAGTTTCCTTTGTATCCTTCGAGCTAGGGAGCTCAGGCAGATGGAAGAATGGAATGAAGAGATGATGCCTACCTGCCCCCACCCCTTGTCCTCACCCACCATGCACTTTGCCTGGGGAATTTTCCTCCCTTCCCTATGGCATCAAAGCTAATGCCTAGATGGGTCTAAAAGACAAAGCCAAGATAAAGACCAATCGATTTATGTCTAGAAAATGCACTATGAAGCCAACAGGATGAGACTGAACTGTTGGTATTCCACCAGGCCCAAGGTCAACTGATCCGTGCCTTCCCTCCTCTTGGACTGTCCAAACCAAAACGATGATGCATGTTCTGCCCCTGGATGAGGAGCACAGGACACTTGTTTATGGGAAATCGTGAGCAGTGAGAGTTCCGAGAGAAGGTAACTCTCATCTGAGGTGGTGTTTTACTGCCACAAAGATATTCAAAGCAAGAAAAGTGAAAATGGCCTTGAAAAGCCAGAGTTCAGGATGGAGATGCCAATGTGTGCAGCCACAAGCATCTTCCTCAGCACAAGAGAAGGAATCTTGTCACTCCAGTTCTGTGTGTCTCAGGAGAGGCCACAATTAGTCCTTTCCAGCGGCACTTTATTCTCTTTATTTAAGTAATAAATATTTGTAATAGAAAGTAATCAACGAAGGCCTCTCCTTCCTGTACTTAGACTGAGTCAAGTCTAGGTGAATGGGCAACCACGGGAGGCACTGGAGTCATCAGAGTCCGAGCTGAGTCATGTCTCGCTCACAATAAACCATCCAGCACCTTCCAAAGCAGCCTCCATGGAAAGCATCTGGAATCACCCTGAGACAGAGAAATCGATGCAACATTTGCCCTATCTGAGCTGGGCTCCTAGGCCCCCATGTCACCATTTTGGAATGATCCATTGTGAGCTGCCTGGCCAAGGTGACAAATCCAGCAAGCAATGGACTCAAATCGTGGAGAAATGTCACTGAACTCCTTCAGACTATAAACAAAGAGAAAACCTAAATCGAGCCTGGAGTCAATACACAGAATGGTGTTGGGTCAATGTCCAAGCTTTGGTCTCTCTGAGTGCACCATGGAGAGAATGGGACTGTATCTGATCTCTCCCCAGCTCTAGCTGCTGTGACTCTATGCTTACACTGAAGAACTTTGCACAACTGAAGACTTACCATCCTTTTGACTTCTCAGGGCTCCGCGCAAGCATGTAGATTTATGCACAGGTGCACTGACCCACACAATTCCTGTTGTTTCTCTTCCTTAGAAAAATTGCAAATTTGCTTTTCCTCTTGTACCACTTTTAATAAAAAAAACCAAAAAGAGAGGAAGAAAGACACTGGAGGAGTAAGGAAGGAGAGAGGGAGGGAGGGAAGGAAGAAAGGAGGGAGGTAGAGAGGAGAAAGGAAGGAATTTAAACTATATAATTTAGGCCAAAGGTTCAGGGTGACCCCGATGAACAGGGCAAAGCTTTCTTAATTTCCCCTTTAGGTTGAGCACAAGGGAATATGTGCCCTGCGATTACAGATGCAAGATGGGCAGTTCAGTGTGTGGAAATATGTCATACGTCTATAACGAGAATGGCTTACTGGTTTTTTGAGCCCCTCCCCAGTACAGACTGGTGCTCATGCGTACTGTGAGACTTGGAAAGGAGTGGATGACTCAAACACAAGTCCAAAGTTGAAGCTTATCCCAGGAGCCAGGTGGGGGCACCAACTGCTTCTCACCCTCTGGGCTTGCAGGATCCCCCCCTGGTTTTCGAAAGAAACAGACCCATTCTGCCCTCTGCTGGAATTTCCTAGCACCTGCAAGTCCCTTCTTAGCAAAGGCTCCAGTGGAGTGTGTGTGTGTGTGTGTGTGTGTGTGTGTGTGTGTGTGTGTGTTAGAGAGAAGAGTTAATTAGTTCAGTCTAACTATTTCCTTTTCTAAACTACCAATAAATAAGAAAGTAACCCCTTTCAAAAGTGTGCCAATATTTACCATGGCATTTTTTTCATACCTGGGAAACAAATAAATGAGACTGTTGGTTCATTCCCTCCAACATGTGCATCTTTACAAGCATCATAGAAAGAAGTGGTGTCTTGCAAGGTGCCAAGACGTTAGATGGTAGGGCAGGATGGCACCCCAGTTAAGATACTACTGCCATTGATAATTGTCTCTTATGCAAATTAGATTACTTACTTAATTGCAGCATGCTGAACCCAAACGGGGTTATCACAACCCTCACAGCAACTACATCCTCTGGAGAAACTGACAAGCAGGATGTATCCTTTTCAGGGCCCTAAGAGTCACAGACATTTCCCAGCCAGGATGTAAACCCAGTCCAGAGCAATGAACTCCACACTGGAAGCTACCAATATCTATTTCAGAAACATCTTGAGCCCTTTCTACCCACTCTCCACCATTAGCTCTGCCCAGGCAGGTGATGCTTGGCTTTCTTGGGACGTTTCTTCGACTGATAAGTGGTCAATAAGTCTGTGAATGGGTGAATCCATTTCTACCCACTGAATCAACCAGACCGAAATGTCACTACCCAAGCAATCAGGAAGCATGTTCTTTAAATAGAATATGGATTCTGTTCCCTATTTTAGAAGTTTGAAGCAAGAGCCTTCTTATTTTCCTCTACTTCTATGAAACCAGAAACAAGAATCTGACAAGAGAGGAATATGTGTGGCTTGCTTTAATGGCTCAACCATGAGAACTCTGTCTGCACAAGGAAAACATATATCCAGGCAAGAGTTTGCTCTGCTGAATTCTGACATCCCAGTGACAGAGAAGACACCCTTGAGTAGGTCAAAATTCCCAAAGGGGGATGTGTGAAAAAACTTCATTGGAAGAGTGCTTGCCTGGTGCAGGGTTAATGAAAAGAAAGCCAGACAAGGGATGCATGACTGACAACAGAATTGGCTTTTATTAAGGAGAAAAGCCTGTAAAGGGGGAGTGTAGTGTAGGAGGCTGGGTACTTACAGGGCAGAGAAAGGGGTCCCACCCATCACCCTAAGGAAGCTCTCTAAACCCAGCCATGGGGTTCCTAAGCAGTCAAACTCCAAAGCCCAGAGTTCCTTTAACATCCACTGAACATAAGGAGCCCAAAGCATACAATAAAAATCATGGGAGCCAAAAATAACTAGCCCAGAGAGTATCCAGGCCTGGTCCCACGGAAGACGGGGAACTGAGTTCTGAGACTAGCTGGCATTCATTTACCTCTTCCATGTATATGGGGTTTTTTAATGATTTATTCATTTTTCTTTCATGTGCATTGGTGTTTTGCCTGTGTGCATGTCTGTGTGAAGGCGTCTGATCTTTGGAACTGGAGCTACAGACAGCTGTGAGTCACCATGTGGGTGCTGGGGGTTGAATCTGAGTCCTCTGGAAGAGCAGCCAGTGCTCTTAACCACTGAGCTATCTCTCTAGCTCGTGTGTGTGTGTGTGTGTGTGTGTGTGTGTGTGTGTGTGTGTGTGTGTTTAACATTCAACAAATTATTTCATCTTCTGTGATCCTGGAGGAACCCTAACTTCCCAAATTGTTGATGAGCATAAAATTGAGGAAATCAAATAATCAATGTTTCTACTATTGAAAGCAGAATATAGATGAGATACTGCACTAATATGAATCTGACAGCTACAAATCAAAAGTGTAGATCTTTTTGTCTTAGTACACCCCAGCATATGAACGTTCAACATCCTAGCTACCTCGCAAATCCTGGTGAATGCCATCTTTAACAAAAGAATGAAGATCTTGATCAAAAGCCGATGTTCACCCATTCTTGTCTCAAAATGTAGTCCTAAACAATATAAATCCACTAACCCATCTTCAAGGTTAATAATCTACTAATACAGCTTGATACACAGGGGACCTGGCTGAGATGAGATCACGGTGGGGTTACTGAAGTTTGGAGACAAAGAGAAGTACAGTGGAGTGAGAATCACAGAATTGCTGGCATTTGGAGGATACAGACTTGGAGGATTCCTTACTGTGGTCCTGAAGAGCAGGGGAATCCTTGTGCCAGAAGTGCTTGGACTTGGCTAGAGTGAAGGGTTAGGACACAACTACCTTTCCTGAGGCTTTTCAAAGTCTAGACTTCCTTTTACATCCACTAAGGAGGAAGAACAACAAAAGGCGCAGGAGTCAGAGATAAGCATCGTCTTCTCTAAGGGCTGAATTTGAAATTGAGCAGAGTGAGACGTGGTGCGGCTGTGAATAATTCAGGTGGAGATGCAGTGACAATAGGCGGCAATGGTGCTGAGAGTGTCCTGGGGACAACTCAGGGGGTCTGGGCACAGCCCTGAGCTCAAATGCTGAAGACCATGTCAACCATTGACTATCTGATGGTCTCGACCAGTTAAGCAGTCAAATGGTTTATCCCCTGTGGGACAGTTACCTGGCTACTTGTCCCAAGCAAGTGTTTGAGGAAAGGAAAAAAAAAAAGTCTTCAGATAAGAGCTGACTGGGATTGAAATACTGACCAATGTTCCGGTAAAGAAGGGATATCCAGTGACTCTTCACTTTCATCCCAGATCTAGAAATGGAAGAGAGAAAGGGATTACAAAAGAAATCGTGTAGACAGTCACCTCACTCTCACCATGAAACAAACACCCTAAGAACTAAATAGCTGCAGCCTCAACTGTGGCCCTTCAGCTGCACCCCAAAGCTAGAGTGTTGACAAAACAGGCCCATAAACTGGAACCCAGGGACATGTTAACTTCTGCCCTGAGAGACCCCAGATCACCCCTTCTGTGTAGTAAAGTCAGTTTCGCTCTAACTGGATTCTAGTGAAGCCCGAGTCTGGCTCCGTGGGTCTCCACAGGAAAAGTACATACTTGGCTATGAATGTTTCAGTCTGGATAAAGCAACTTGGCCTTAGTGGGTCAGAGAATTCTCTAATATTATTCTATGCCACAGCCAAGACTAAAAGATAACCACATGTGACATTAAAACAGAAAGAAGTATTTGCAATTTTTCTATGACTTTCTTTTTACCCTCCCTACATGTGCTACATTGAGTCTGGAAGTGGCATACTATGAAAGCTGAGCATCCAAATAAAACAACATAAGAGGCAATGATTGAAGCTCTAAAATTAGCATGGGAGATGGAGGATGCCACAGAGAGGGGAAGAAGTAGACTGTGGTGTGTTGGAAACCCAGCTGAGCAGTCGTGTAAGGAACAGGTGACGTTTCCATAGATTGGATGGGGCAGTATCAGGCAGATTGAGCAAGAGCTGAGATCTGGAGGTAAAATAAAGGGACAGTTAGGAGAGGTGCCCACTTACAGTACATACCACAGATCAGGTCTCATTAGGCAGTTTGGCAGAAGAGAGCAAGAAGTTTCCATCTCCTTTCTAACTCCCAGTGTCCCCTGTCTGCTCAGCTTCTTCTACACTTCCCATGGGAGAACCCATTTTTCCTTGATCTGAGAAGCATATAAACCAGTCCCTGGCAACTCACATCTTAAAAGGCATAGATTCACCCCATTAAGTGCTGAGAGTTTAGGAGGATGGGATTCAGGCTTCTTTATTCATGTTGTGGTATGTGTGATGCATGTGTGTGCGTGTATGTGTGTGTATAGAGGTGAGAGATAGCTGTATCCATCTTTTACATGGGTCTGGGGATCCAAGCTCAGTCCCTCAGGCTTCTGCAGCAAGTACTTTTCTGACTGAGCCCTGAAAGTTGTGATTCTGCAAAGAGCATGTCATGAACAATGACTGGGAAGGTTCTTCCTGGAGCAGTCAGCTGGTGGCGCGCATGATGCAGACAGTGAAGACTTGGGCTTCTTTCTGTTTTCCTCATGTGGTGCTGGAGATTGAAACTATGACCCTTGACATGCAATGCTATCACCGAACATCCCTAGAGGTATACTGAAGGTGTTTCTACAGCCAATTTGTTTCCAGGCATTACTTTGTTGATCTAACTGAAAGGCAGACCTAGAGGAAAAGAAGTCTAGGATGTTGTTTTCATTCTTAGCTGTATCTAAAAACCACTCCCCAACCTAGAGACAATTTATTCCAGGCACAAAATCAGAAGAAAAAAAATAGGATGGAGGAAAAGACACAGACAGGAGCCAGAGGCTGTCACATCATCACAAGTGCACATGTGCACACCAAAGGGCAGGTTTCCCCGACCTGAGGAACTCACCTTTCTTCTCAGTGGCAAATTTAGGATGGGTATTTTGGCAGACTGGTTCATACTGTCTCCCTTCATAAAAGACTGTTCCCAAGTCTTAGCTTGAATGTGGATCAGGGAGGGCCTCACATAAGCTGCTAGACACGTTAACGTTCTCCATGTTAGATGCATCTCTACCTCATGTTAAAAGACACTGTGCCCTCAGCACGCCAGTTTCGCCAGAACGGCATCAATGAAACTGAGAATTGGGCGAGATAAATTGCACAACATTTCAGACCCATCCAATTTCATGTCACAATGATTTCATCTTCCAGTGCTGGAGCCATGATAATATCACCACTAACAAGTTACAGTGAGACAAATGGGCTGGACTCCAAGGGGGCTCATGTTGCTTCTTCCTCCAACTGAACACACATTCAATGCCTACTACATGCTGACATGCATACTCACAACAACAAAGGGGCAAGGGGCATATCCTCTTTTCCTTTAAAGTAAACAGAGTTCTGTTTACAAAAGATTGATACAGCAGAGGAAGGCCTCAGTGGCCTCAAAGAAAATTTGAAAAACTGGACAAAATACATGTCTTCAGTTGCCATAGGCTTGAAATAGAGTAAATCACAAAGTGACCAAGACAGCCAGTTGTGTGGTGAATCCCTGTAATTCCAGCACATGGTGGCTGAGGTAGAAAGATCTGACTGTATAGTGAGTTCCAGACCAGCCTGAACTGAATAGTAGGATCTTGTCTCAAAAACCAAGTGGTCAAAACAAAGCATAAGTACTTTGAAGACCTCTTGTTGTCAGAGCCCTGTTAGGCTCCATGCAAGTACTTGACAGTGCCAGTCATTTTGCCTTGACAAAAATGAAGTGACTCTTCAAACAAGCCAAGGGGCTTCCAAACCAGATCAGACTGGCTTTGAATATGCCTGGGTTGTCAAGTGCAATGCTGGGTTTGCAGGGTTCATCTCAGACTTGGTACGTTCCCGCTTCTCATCTGGACTACAGATGCATTCACTAACTTGATAGTCTCCCAAAGGAACTTCCTGTGGGCCTGGGAGTCACCTCCAAAAGACACGCCCTTTGTGGTCACTAGTTCATCCATCTAGGTATTTGCACAGAGCTAACCGATCTTAAAAGTTCCCTGGCTTGGCTTTTTAGACAGAACAAACTCCAGATGAATCTTTGGATAACTTTACATTTCCTTTTTCCCTCCCCCCAAAAAGCTAGGTTTCAACTGAAATGTGTCACAACGCTCAAGGGAGAAAAGTCAGTCCCTTACAACAGTCAACGCTGACTCCCCAGACATTGCAACCCTAGAACAGAAAGGCACTGTGCCACCCTTCCGATCACAGTGCCCGAGTGGGCGTGGGGTCCATTAGAGGTAAGATACCTACACTGTCTAAGTCCAGAGCATACAAGAGCTGTGCTGGGCTAGGCACTGTGGGCTGGGCTGTAAAGGGCTTGCTCACCCATGACGGGAGAGGTTTCCACAAGCCACATAGACAAACAGATTGAAGAGTTTGCAGTCCAGGGGCAGCTCTAATTAATTGACCTGGAAAATTGGGTCCAAATAACTCTCACGAAAGTTCCTCATCCTTTCCCAAAAGAGAATGTGACTGTGTGTTTTCTATGGAAACTTCTTTGTATATATGTATAAACTAGGTATGGCCTTAAAGCTGCAGTTAAGGATCTGTCTGGCTCCCACCTTAAGCAGCGTGCTAAGCAACCGCTTCCTTAAAGTAATATTTTTACCTCTCACTGGACATTCAACCTTGAAGAAGCAATTCCCTCTGGCCCCTTGTCCTTTTTTTTGCATGAAGTCATTAAAGTTATGAAAGGGTTTGTTTTGTTATTTTTGCTTTGTTTTGGTTCTGGCTTGTAAAAAAAATCTATTTCTGCAGTTTGAAGATGGAATGTAAAATTTCTGTGCTGTATATAGAAATATATTTATTGAGCCATCCATAGACACATATCCATGCCAATTCTAATGGAAAAAAATTAAAGTTTTTCTGAAATTTTCTGTGGTTAACTCCTAATTGTTAGACTTCTGAAACCCTACAGGTACCCCAGAGGGAAAAAAAAATCTATGTGCAACCTGAGAAGCATTTCACTTGGAGAACTTCACATTGAAAAAAAGAGAATTCATTTGTTCAGCCATGAATATTTATTGGTAGGTACCACTGTAGGTTAACACAGGCGGCTCACTCATAGACCCTGCCACAGGGGGCTTACAGTCTATGGGGCTGGTGAGAGAAAACACGTATCGGGGATACAAGGCCAGGGTTGTTTCAGATTCTGGAGGTGGGAGGGGTGAGCTGGGAAATCTGTTGAGGTAGTATGATGGGATGTAACTGAACCCTGGATGCAGGAAGGAAGGAAGGAAACTGACCACTCTTCTAGCAGGGTGGAGCTTGAGTACTGAGCTTGTGAGAAGTCAGTTGTTCTGCAGGGACGATGCCTAAAAGGGACTAGGGACAAGCAGGAAGTTTTAGACCAGGGACTTCTCCCTCACACATGCTCCGCCTCCCAACCCCCAGCCTCCCAAGAATTTTCTGTACTGAAATGTCACCAGGATCTGAAATTAATGGAAGGCTACCCCTCCCCCCCAGTCACTGACTCAACCATCATGGGGACTTTAAAGTGTCAGTTCTCAGTTCCTTAAGAAGTCACAACCTAATCCAGTGGTAATTCCAACTCCAGGCTGAACCATGAGAGAAGCAGAGTCCTCTAGGAAGACCCTGCTTATGACAAGGAATGAGACAGAGCTACAAACAGACAAACAAAATGAAGGGGGAAGTGAATCTGTTCACTTACAGTGCTCAACAGTGACAGGTCTTGACAAAACCCAGCATGAGACAGAGAGGTGGGGGGGGCACACAGGCACATGTGCAGGGAGAAGGCACGTGAAGCTAAGGTCTCAGAACACTCGGGAGTATCAATGAAAAGAAATGGTGGGTTCCCAATACATACATGGCATATACATAGCCTGGCAACAGGGCATGCTTCCACCCAAAACGCTGCCCCTGGGGCAAAACCACCAACATACAGAATACAGCATGCCAAAGGACCTCAGAAAAAGTGACGGCCAAGCAAAGCAGTGTTGGTGTGCATCTTTAATCCCACCAGGCAGACAGGTGGACCTCTGAGATTGAAGCCAGCCTTGTCTACAGAGCAAATCTCAGGATACACAGAAACCCTGTCTCCAGAGAAACTGTTCTGTAAAGTAAGGACCTGAATTCAATCTCTAGAACACACCTGGTGTCACATGGAGGCAGATGGGTGGGTCCCTGGAGCTCACTGGCTTAATCACAGCTTAATCAGAGTAACAGGTGAGAAGCCTTATTTAAAAAAAAAAAACAAGGTAGAGCCCGGCATGTCGGTGCACACCGTAACTACCAACATTTCAGCAGGCAGAGGAAGACAAATCTGAGTTTAAAAGGAGGGCTATGTAGCAAGTTCCAGAACAGATAGGAATACACAGTGAGACGTCTCAAAAGACAAAAACAAGCAAAAAAAAAAAACCTATAGTGGACGACTCCTGTGGAACCCTCAAAGCTTCCACGGACACACACAGAACCACCTGTTCCCTTCCCCACACCTCACAAAATGCAGCTTGCTGAGACAGTGAAAGCATCCCTAAAGGTGGTCGGGGAGCAGCTCTGTAGAAGGCAACTAATGAGCTCACTTAGCAGGGGCCTACCGTGTTCTGAATGCCACTGCAACTCGGGTCTTCAGGGTGCCAATTCCCCCGAGACATAGCCAGCTCTCGGGCACTCGAAGGACGTGGGCTCCTGACTCAATACTGCAAGTGCTGCCTGAAGCCCTGCCTGCTCCCGGAAGCTCTGCTGACTCAATTGCTTCCCACCATCTCTTCCCCTTCTTACTGTGCCATATTCCAAGGCAGACATGAAAACTAAGTGGGCCACACTGGTTTTGCTGGATTGTTCTTGAGCCAGGCTTTTGCTTTGTAATCAAGGCTGGTTTTGGATTCACAGTCCTCTCACCTTGGTCTCCTGAGCACCAGGATTAAGCCTGTGCCACAGGCCTTATTTCAACTTTACAACTCCCACTGTTCCAAAGCAGCAGTTGAGACTGCAGAGCACAGGAATACCACCTCACAATGAAAGCAAAGATAAGTTTTGGTTAAGATTTACTTACTTCCAACAGGTCTGAAAACAGAGACTCGTGACTAAAGAGTATCTTGCTGCTCTTCCAGGACATAAGTTCGATTCCCAACACCTATGTAGGAGGGCTCTCTCACCTGTAACTTCAGCTCCAAGGGGCCATGAGCGTCCTCAGACACCTGTATACATGTGGCCAACATTCACCCAAACATGTACACATAAAAAAAAAAAAAAAACTAAAGAAAGACTCGCTTGGCTAAACTACCCATCATGGGTCCTAGGTCTTAAGCTCAGTAGTAAAGAACCATCCACTGAGTCTTCCCTACAGATCAAATCTTAATTTGACATGAGAAGGTCAGTCACTTCTGACAAAGCCTGTGCTTTGTGTGACCATGAGCGCCTCTGGAACTCCGATGTAGGCATCATTCCATGGTATCACTGACAAGACAGATTCTGAGCAGTGCAAAATGTCCTGCCAAGCTACGGCCCTTGCCCTTCAAAAGCACACTCCCATCCCAATGCCACTGCCGGGAAGTAGGGTAGGGCTGAAGCAGTTCCCTAACCAGTCACAAGCAACAGGGGTGTACTGCTACATCCCTATACTAACGCATGCACACACACAGACAGACATGGCTGTTCTGTTACACATTTATCTGAGGTAGAAGAGAATGGGCCTTTCATATCCTAACCCACCCACAGGTTGTTCTATTTCTCAGATCAATCCAGATCATCCTGTTACCCATGGTCTCCAAAGATTAAAGGGCAATGCCATGCTCTCTCGACTCCTTACCCTGCACTGCAAACGTTAATCAACTCATCAGGTAAATACTCCTGACTAGGAAGATTTTTTTTTCTAAATGCCAAGACCTAGTACTTGTGAAAATCATTTTTAGATTCATCCAAGGTACTGAAACTTTTAGTAAATATTGTATGGGCCAGTCTAGCCTTGAACTTGAGATTTTCCTGTGCCTGAGGCCTCTAGCATCAGAGAATATACAGGCCTGTGTCATTAGGTAACACTTGGACTTTTCTCAGAAGTAATGTGGGGTATCTTTTCTTTGCTGCCCTTTCGTCTTGTTTTTTGACAGTCACACTATGCAACCTTGGTGGGACTGGAACTTGCTTCACAGACCAGATTAGCCCACAGAACCACATGCTTTTTTTGCTCCTGAGTGCTGGGATTATCGTCATGAGCCACCAAGCCTGGTTCAGTTGACTTTCTTGTCACCATAAGCTTTATTACAGGACATGCTGCACATGTTTGCATTATCGCTGTCTGACACAATGAAACTGACCCCAAAACAGTCATGTGATCTGGTTACCTCAGTTCACAAGCAGATGCTACCAATATTCAGATCTGTAAGGTACTGAGACCAAACCTGACAATCTCACACCGTTTTCAACCCAACTACCCTTTCTGACAACAAAACCAGAACACATATCTGTCTGGGACAGTTCTGAGACAGTTAGAGAGCTAGGGAGACGGCTGAGGCTAAAGCACTATGTCCAAGTATGAAGATCTGACTCTAATCCCCAGAAGCCACAGGAAAGCCAGACATGACAGCACATGCCTAAAATCCCTGTGCCCTTACAGCAAGACAGAGAGGCAGACACAGGAGCCCATAGAAGCTTGTGGCTTATGGGCCAATTTCAAACAGTGGAATATAAGGCCTGGCTCCCAAGATTTCCTAACTTCCACAAGCATGCTGTGGTACACCCATGTATAAAGACATACACATGTACACACACACACAAACACACACACACACATGAACATTAGGAAAAGTTAAGTTTGACACTCTGGTTGCCTACAGACTAATAATGACTTGCCCACAGAAGCTTGTGTGGACAAGACCTTCTTCACCCATGTCACACACAGCACTCAACACACAACACTGGGAAGTGAGTTTTAGCAGTCTACATTGCCAGATGAAGTTTTCTTCCAGAAATATTTTAATAAAAATTGGCCTTTTTCCAAAAAACACCCACTGCATGTCCATCAGTAAAAGAGAACCGTAACAAAATAGAAAATTTACCATATGGCTATGATTTAAAGAAAAAAAAAATGCAGACCCTGGAGCACATTAGCCAAGTCCGATATTCAACCAAATTTTTCTTATGGCCCACCAGGAACCCAGACAGACAGCAGAATAGAGTGTGGCGCACAGAGCCACTGAGGTCACAGGCCTCACAGAAGCACCTTCCTCAAAAGCATCCCAGTCTGAGGCGTGATTTTAGGATAAGGCAGAACAATGTTAACACGACACATACAGGTGATCAAAAAATTCTACAGTTCCCCCACATACTCTGAATCTGAAAACAAATCTAGAATCTTTATTACTTTTCTTTAGACAATTGCCAGGACTGGAATCAAAGATAAATAGAAGGCACAGTTTTGCTTGGCTTTGTTATCAGATTTGGGGGTTTGTTTTCTCATGGGAATTTTTTGTCCTTTTTTCTTTTTTCTATTTTTTTCTTTTTTTTTTTTTACAAATACAAATAAAACATGAAAAACTCTACCTCAAAAAAATCTAACAGTTCAACAAAAGTCCTTAGCTGTGTTCTAGACATTGACAGGCTACGTCACAATTTAAAATCCAATGGTAAAAATGGAGGTTTAGAATTGTTTGGTAATCACATGTCAAAAGAACAAAGTTCTGGAAACACCTTTTATTCAGTTAGCCACACCAGCAGGGACCCAGTGGCAGTTGCCAAAAGGCAATTTTTCCACACCAGAAAGGAGTCGTGTCTTGATTTTTCCTGCTTCCAAAATGTTTATCAAATCCTGTGTCTCCCAACAAATGAAACATCCATTGTCAGTGATATGCTCCTCTGGGGAATGGCCGTGAAACTCCAGTCTGTGTATGCAGCGTGAGCAGGAAGGTCAGTCTTTCCTCTTCTTCTTTATAAATCTATTCCTCCTAAAGTATCATTCCAGAAAACCGGGAATGAAGGACTAAAGGGTCAAGGGAGGAAAGGGGTTTGGGGAGCACACACCATGAACACAAGCGAAATTAAAATTGTACAAACTCAAGCAGTTTATAATAGACTACTCCGAGACACCAAAGGCTGGTTGAAGGAATTCACCATTCTGCAGGAGCCGGGGCTGTGTGCTGTGTGGAGATCTGAGCCAAGCAATTCACTGCCTTGGAGTTGTAATCCCCCTGCCCACGCCAAAGCCTGGTTTCTGCACCATGCCTCCGCGGGGAGGGCCTCTCATCCCACCACTTGGCCCACCACGGGGGCCTCCAGGTCCCCGAAGGCGGTTATCCCTTCGGTCACCTTCCCTGGCAGCTCGAGTCTTCTTCTCTTCCACATTCAGGCGGACTGCGCCTCGGAACATGATGGGCTGTGTGAGGACCAAGGAAAGCAGACACTCAGATCAGCTCCTGACAGTGACTATCAACTGAGCAAAGCCACCCTCCAGAGCAAGCAGCTTTCAACCAACTAGTTCTCACAAACAGGAGCTCATAAAACATCTTTCTGTGTTACTATTGCATGCAGATGTGGTGAACAGTGCAACAAGTAGAAAAACGCCAATTTAAACAGCCCTGAAGCATGAGTGTCGTTGTACTAATGACTAAAGCAAACTTCAATAAACACCATGACATAGATGCCTCCTCCACAGCTTCGAGAATAAAACTTTCTCACATACTTAGGCAAAATACTTGTACTAAGCAAAAACATTATGAAAATGACTTAAATAAAATTCCTTGAGTCCTGCAATTTAGGGGTAAGAAAGTGTGACATGGCCTCCTAGCTAGAAAACGACACTCAGTTACACTAGTGATCACACAGTAACACTCAGCAAGCCAGTGCAGAAAACCCCACCCCACACACAGACACACAGACTGAAGGGAGTGCAGCACAGTGAGACGGAGGAGAGAGGGCAGAAGCACCTGAACCATCGTCTCCTGCCAGCACAACTTCTAGGAGATGAGCCTGGACAGCCAGAAGCCTTGGAGTTATCAAAAGAGGTAACTCCACTTTTGGGGAATGTTTCCCACTTTTCTCATCCCTAAGGCATTGCACACACACCTAGCACACACACATACATGCAAGCAAAAACCACAAACATAACACACACACACACAAAATGCAAATTTGCTTACCCTATTATTAAGGACCTTCTGAACGGGTTCAGAATCATCAAACACAACAAATCCGAAATTGGGTAACTTCCCGCCACTGTTGATGCGCAGCTCCACCACATTCCCATAGTCTGCAAGAGCAAAGCACTCGTAACCTCTGCAGACACCCAGCTTACCCAGCATGCAGCTTACATCAGACAAAGATGACCTATGAACTTGAATGCAGTTGACTGCTAAAATGTCATATTAAAATGCAAAATAGAGTTCAAATGCTCCTTAGATGAATACTTTATAACTCAGATCATTAGTTCTTAAAGCTATGGAGTTTGTAAATTTCAAAGCTTAAAGAACTGATCCAAGTCGACAAGGCACTGTGTCTCACTTGTTCCTTGTATACCGCTGTAAAGGAATTTTATACAACACTGTAGCGTGCCTACAACTCATGACACTGAGGTCAAGGTGGAATTTTCCACTTGGTGTCACGATCAAGGGAAGTACCAGTTATGACATTCGTTATTTTAGAGTAAACAGCCCAAAGTTCACCGTGCCCTGGTCTAAACAGACCATTAAGACCTAACACTACACCTGTGCCTCTCCTAGGTGGCACTTCCTAAGAACTCATGGTCATACTGAGAATCATTAGCACCTACTTTGGAAAAAATCCTTCAGTTCCGACTTGTCAACCTCATGTGGCAGGTTCCCGATGAACAGCTGGTGACTGTCAGGGTGCCTCACCATCCTTCGAGGTTCCACATCTCCTGGTTCACCAGCCTCACGGACTTCAAAGACAAAACAGACTCTCAGGGATTCTTCATAAACAAGTTTCCTTCTGCTCAAAACCAAGTCATTCCACTGCCTCAGCCAGGCCCGAAACCACCCCAAGCTACACATCACCAGGGCTCTTACTTGGTCGGGGTCCTCTCTGAGGAGGGATATTAATCCGCTGCTCTCGAACTCTCTGATCCCTCTGAGGTCTTTGTGGTGGAATCTGAGAGTCAGGCTTAGATTCTGGACGGGGCTAAAAAGGATTACAGATTAACCTTTGTGAGAAGCCAAAGTAGTTTATCTGATCTTAATTTTCTTTTAAAAATTTCCAATTTACTATGTGGTGTGTGTGTGTGAGAGAGAGAGAGGGAGGGAGAGAGAGAGGGAAGGAGAGAGAGAGGGAGGCCCTGTGCGTGCATACCACACACATACAAATGGGTCTCATGTGACACCTCAGGTGCCTTTGCACCCTCAGCCACCTCACCAGCTCTGTCATCGGTTTTTCATTTTCCTTTTTTTTTTTTTTTTTTTT